GGGGGGGGGCTTCCCATGGGGCAGGGGAGGGAGGTGAAGATGGGGAGGGCACTACAGGTACCACAGCCCGGTGGAGTCTCTGCCCCTCTGCTCACTGTGGACCTGTATAAGCTTATCCAGGGGGACGGGCTGAGCTCCTGGGGCTCAGCCTCCTTGCTGGTGACATCCTCTTTCCTTCCAGAGCCTGCACAGAGATGGATGCAAGGGACTTGGTCCCAATTGTCGTGGAAGACTTTAAGAAAATAGTAAGTCTATTGTTACAGTGGGGTTGATGGCGCTGTGGTAGACTTGCTATTGGTAAAAAGCCCAAAGGGACACCGGGAAGCCCAAGGGGAACTATACAGAGGAGTTACAAGTGTGGGTTAAGTCACAGAGGTCTCTGCTCACAAACCTGATCCTATGATCCTCTGATTCCCTGACAGTAATATCTTGTCTGTGCTACGGTTATGTTGAGTTTAGGATTACAGCAAATGGCAGAGGATAGAAGCAAAGGAGAAGAAATCTTCAGCCCCCAAGTTGACTTTGCCACCCATCACAAACGAGGGCAAGAAGAAGAAAGGGAAGAAAAGCAAGCCAGGTTGGCAGACATCCGCTTATACATGACCCTGGTGTCACTAACCACTGGTGCTGCTGTTGCATTCACCCAGTGCTTTCTGCTGGGAGACATTCAGCAAAAGCCACAAGAAACTGCCCAAGGGGAAATGCTGAGAATAAAGAGGGAGAGCTTGGGAAGACCAGGGAATGCTTTGTAGACGTAGGTCCTGTGCTGTAAATGCAAGCTGCTTTTGCTGGGGGTGTAGAAAGTATGAATTAAGCCTCACAGTGATTCTTTATATTTCCCTCATCTACATATGAGGGACAGGAGAGAGTAGCGTAGGCATTGAAACTGGACTGTGTAATAAGCACAGGGCTTTTTGGTTTCACCAGTTACATTGATGTTGAATAAAAATCCACCCTTGCCTTCGAAGACATTATCTTCCCAAGAGAAATATGGAAGTTTTACTCAGAGGAAATTGTCACTGAAGGAGACTGAATTAACTAAAAATTTGGAAGATGTCAAAACTATCAAGGTATGTGAAACAAATGTGCTCTGATGTAGGTAGCAAATCCGTACAGTTTCTCAGGCTGTCTTTACAGAGGGAGTTCTAGCGGTCTGATTCACTCTTGCAGAATGACACTTGTTTATTTATTAATATATTGGAGGTAATTATGCTGTTCTGTTTAATGCTGGTGAAATCTAAACTTGGTATTGTCTTTTAAGAAAAATGAAGAGAAACCGAGAGTCCAGACTGTAGCAACAGGAGTGGTGAGATTTAGGAAATGTGACCTGTTAGAAAAGGTTGTCAAAATCGGGTTTGCTTAGTCTAGCAAAGAGAAGGTTGAGGGAGAGGACATGACCACAGCCTTTCAGAAGGAAAAGATGGTTATAAAAGAGACAATGATCAGTTGTTCTGCATGTTTTTGGGAAAGAACAGAAAGAAACTGGCCAGGATTGCACAGGAAAGATTACGGATTCTAACTATCAAGCTGGTGAAACACTGAAAGATACTGTGGATCCTTTTGGCTGGAAGGCTTTAAGAACAAGTTAGGAAACCATTTATAGGGGCTGGTCTGAATTTTGATTGCTCCTGCCTTTGGGGGGGTGAGTGCACCTGTGAGTATTCCTTCCTTCCAGCTGTACAACTCACTGACTCTATAAGAACAGATGCACTCGATGCGCATCACACATCACACTGCCTCTGTGCATGCAGGGAGCACCCGAGGGGCAGAGAGATGCAAAGTCAGATCCCAGATTGAGGAGCTGCAGGTTGAAGGTAGTGAGTCCAGGGTGTGCTGTATGGGGGAAATCAGTGTGCCTTGGCAATAAGGCTGAGATTCGTTGTGTGGTATGTGATGCCAGGATGGTCAGGGCCTTGTTGGTGCTGTTACCATGGGCAGAAATGTCTTGGGAATGGCAGACGAAGGTCAGAAAACTCAGGGCAGGTGAGACTGATGGAATCTGCAACCCTTTAATCTACAAATTCCTCTAGCATCTGACCAAGTTGAAGATAAATTTCATAGAGGAGCTGAAGCAGCACAGTGCCTACCTGGCAGAGACCAACCGCAGGTTGGTTGAGGACATTCAGCACACTGATGACCACACTGCCAAGCAAGCCAGAGACCTGCTGCAGCAATATGAAGCATTTGGGGTGAGGCTTTCGGGTTGGCCAATAGATCCAATTCAGTAGAGTGTAAAACTGTTGCCATTACTCCTGTTTGTACCCGCGGAGGGTCAAGCACTGCATGGCCAATTGCACTGCACAGTGTGACTCAAACATCCCCAGTGCTGGGGGGAGCTGCCTGATGCCCCAGGATTCTGTGAGGTGCTGTTGCTGAACCATGTTTTAAAGCCACAAGAGCATCCCGAGGGATAACTGTTCCAAGCAACAGATCTCCCCCTCGTAACAGCCCAAACACATCCCGCTTGGCTTCAGCCGGCTCCTTGAAGCACCAAGCCACTCCCAAAGCAGCTCCCATGCTCCTGTGAGAGGAGCATTAGGGATGCTCCGGGGGACGTTTTGGAGCTCCGTGGAGCGATCAGTGACTGGATTTCTCTCTGTGCAGAAGGTCAAGGCAGCGATGCAGAACTTCACTCAGAGCCGGCTGGATACAGCAAGAGCAGAATTCCGAGAAATGGAAGAAAAAATGGAAAAGAATCTGGAAAGTAAGTTGCTCACGCTAGTATGAAACAGTCTATATAACCCTGTTACCTTTACTTTCCATCTTGATAGACAAAAAAACACTGCGTTGGTGTGATAAATGTCAAACAATTCAATTTCTGAAAAATAATGCCATATACTCTATGGGCACGATCTTCCTGTCAGCAATGACTAGGGAAGGATAGAGCCCTGTGACATCTGTCAGCCCATACTGAAAGGGGTAGGAAGGATCAGCTCCTTGGCAGCTGTTTGCATGACTGGATCTCTGTGGGGGCATGATCTGGTCAAAGTAGTCTGACTCGGGGTGGCTGTTCCCAGTTCCCGTGTGGTACGTAATCCCTGTAGAGAGAAAGACTCGGCAAAAACAGGGAAGACTCCTTAGCTCCACGAAGAAGTGAAGCTCTGGAACCCCATGGTTGAGATGTTCTGCTTTGACTTTTAATCAGAACTACAGCAGCAGCTGGATAAAGCCACTTCAAAGGTACAGGTTCTCCAGGACGAGCTTCACATGCTGCAGACCTACATGGACAGAGAGTATCCAGCAAAAGCTGTCCAGATAGCCTTTCTGCTGCGCAAGATCCAGAGCCTGAAGGAGCAACAGCAGGTGCTGAAATCTCACCTTCCCTTCAGCGTTACAAGGGAAGAAGGAAAGGGCAGGGGTGGAAGGGATGCAGTATTTCACTCGCTTAATGCTTCTGTTGTTTTTATGCACCTTCTGCTGCCACTCTCAGTACGAGATAGATGAGACAGAAGCACTGGGGAAAGCCCTCCTGGAGGAACTGGAAGCAAAGCTGCGGGTGGAACAGGAGGAGCTATTGGAGAGAGTCATGGAGGTTGGTGGAGTCCATTTGCTTTCTCAGCAAGAGGGATCAGTTTCTGGGAGCTGTCAGACAAGGCAGGGGATTCTAGACTTTGCCCATTAGCAACAGAACAGTGCAGACAGCACACAAAGAATAAGAGAGCATTGCTGCTCCCTTCCTGTCCGGCTGGTGCCTGGAGCTGTTTGTCAAGCTAGCAGGGTAAAAGGGAAGCACTTCCGAGTTGCTACTGTAGTCTGATACGTTGAAATATTCTCAGACTCACACCTGAGAGTTTGCCATGTGGTGGCAAGTGCACTGTGACCCAACATTCACTCTGCTTTTATGGTCCCTGTTTTCTTACATTCTTTAGGTAGCTGCTTGCTGCTCAGCTGTGACACCACTCAGCCAGCGCACACACGTTTGTAATAAATTCTTGAGAAAATTAAACTGTGTGCAGCACTGCAGAGCAGGGACTGTTGTCCTTCTTCACAAAATAGAACAAACTCCTTTTGTACAGTTTCTCTTGCATGATATACCTAGCACTTCTCCTGTGCTAAGAGATTCACAGCACTACGCAAATATTAGTTACTGACTTCTTTTACAGCCTGCTCTGGTGCAGAAGGACTGCTGTCCCCTTTTACGGGTGGATTTGTGAGCGCAAGCAATATGAGTAACCCACGCAGTATTGATAAGCCTTTCTTGGGAAAGTGAATTGGATTTCAGTCTTGTTCCATGAACAGTGTAATGTGATCTCTGTTACAGTCTCTTTCTGGTGCTGGAACCTAAGCAGAAATTATTTTCTTGAAGAGTAACACATCTGTTTGACTAGATACGGCCAACACTGGCACCTAACAGTGGTTTCATGCTGGCAGTTATTGTGAAGTTTCTTCAGCCGGTTTCCTTCTCTTCACCCATACAGGAGATGTTACTGCATCAGGATGGCCTGAAGCAGATGGTTATGAACAATCACATTCTGCAATGTGAAGTACAGGGGCAAAGGGAGGTGAGTGATTTAGGGAAGAACTGGCACAGTTCAGCAGAGCCAGCCCCCCTCAGCCGTGGCCTTGCTTGGTGAGGATTTTGCCTGCCAGAATGGGGCACGTTGCCTTCCGTTACCGCTGGAATCAGTGGTCTGTTAAGACCTGAGGGTGAGCAGCACAGCAGGTATTTCAGGAAACCTGTTAGGGATTTTGTTGCATGAGGGATGTTTTCTAGCTCTGCTGTTTGTAAATCTCTAAAATGTTAAGTCCTGCTTCTATTGCAAAATAAAGAACTTTTCAACATGTAATTCATTCAGATTATTAAAGACCTGGCAGAGGAGATCAGTGAGCTGAAAAGAAGCATCCAGACACTTCAACAGAGTGCGGGAGACCCAAGAGAGCTCATCTTTGCTGATGTTCTTCTCCGCAGACCCAAGTAAGCCAACATGCTCCCTGAGAAGTAATGCTGGTCAGTGGGCAGGCCTTTTTTTGTGACCTTTGGTTGCACTGGGCATTTTCCACTTCACAGTCTTTAGTATTGAGTACTAATAACCTCATCCCAACCATTTCCACAGGTGTGACAGTTAAACCTATACCCAGCCCAGAATAGAAACTCGCAGCTTATGCTGGGTTTGGCTTGGGAAGACAGCTGCAGGGTCTGGTGGTCTTTGCCTAATAACAACTAACTGCCAGAACTCTGAGACTGAGGTGCTGTCAGCCTTGGTCACATCATCTCTCTCTTCTGTGCTTTGCTTTGTCCGGCCTGTAAGTGGGGAGAATTGGGGACTGCAGCAGGGAACAGGCAGGAACAGCAGAGCTTCGCAAGGCTTGTGTGACTACAGTAACTCTTACTGTATCATTCTTTGTACTTCATGGTTGAGAAACAAAACTGAGGGGAGGGGCTGGGCTTCGTAGGAGCATCCCTGTCAAGGCAGGTCCTACCCATCTGGAAACACTTTGCCTGGTTATTTGAAATCCCACTAGCACTCTGTAAGAACCAAGACGGGCAGCCATTTCCCTAATATGTAAAAAAAAATGCGACAGAGACATTGGTTGGCAGCAAAAAGGCAAAATTTTTTATCTTTCTCCCTGCTCTCTCCCAGCCCTAGTTCACTGGTAGCTAATTACTTCCAGAATGGAGGTTGTGGGTGATCCCCACTCCTGCTTAACAACGTGCACTGGGCTGATACTGGATGTAAGAATTATGAAGCACAAGGCGAATCTTCATTTATGTATCGATGTGGAGAAGATCCTGCCAGCTCCTTCACAGAAATATCAGGCTCTTGTCTCCAGGGACAGACTGAGACTGGCCAAGTTTGTAGGCTGAAAGCATACCAACAGCCAGCTGTGACAAATTATTTTCCAACATACCTACGGCAGGGAGCCTGTCCTGCAAAACTGCAGACTGAAGGCATACGCTGCATGTTGTCCCATGGCAATGGGGTACTGCCCAAAGTACAGATGATTCAGAACTGCTAAGGTACCTTGACTTTCTGCGCTGTCAGACTGTCCGGGGGTACAAACGTGAGCAAAATTTGGTCAAATATGTTTAAACCTTGGGTAGTCTGAAACCTGTTGTGTGCACAACAGCATGCACACCTGTACATTTATTTACAGCAATGGCCTGCCTGTACCAATAGCTCATGGGTACAGAGATGTCAGTTAATGAAGTTACTTCTTTTTAGCCTGTGCTGTCAATGTAGGTGTAGGCTAGCCCCTCGGCTACTTTGCACTTCAAACACACAGATTATTCGCACAGTATGAAAGTACAGTCCTTTGTGGTGACACAAACTCACTCAGCAAACCAGTGGTGGAGACAATAAGAGAGGCTGGATCTGCCCCTCCAGGGCCTGGGTTTTAATTGCAAGCCCAGTTTGGCTGCAGAACTGTGGAGACATGATCTGAAGCAGAAGGAAAGCCTGGAATGTGTCAGGAGACTGTGCGGTGAGCTGAACAACTGCATGATGGATTAATGCAACTTAATTTTTTCAGATAAAAGAATGATAAAAAGGGAATTAATTAGCCTCGACAGCTGGTGGAGCAGGAGTTACTGAGGGTGGCTGGGAAAAGAGTTAAAAATAGCAGGAAGGCCCAAGTGGAAAGTTTCTGTAACATCACAAGTCAGGCATTTGGTGCTTACCCGCCCCTGACAGGCGGGAGTCCGTGCCAGAGCCCTCACCACCGTCTCTCAACCATTTCCCACTGACCTCCCTGCAACTTTTCAAACGGCTTCACCAGTCCCTCAGTTTTCTAATTAACTCTTTGGTTCCAGACACTGAGTTTGCTTCTTGAAAGAGCAAAGTTAGTCATAAGCTGTGTTCAGCCTAGAAGGCTCTCCGGGTGTAAGGGAGCATGGTGGTGGAGGACTCTTGCTGGCTGTCCTTGGGTTCATTGTACGCTGCTGGCAGGGCGTATGAAGTCTGGAGGAGCTCTGAGCCCCTGCGTATCCATTCATATCTGCATTTCAGTTTCCCCTCTTTCAAAATCTGTTTGCTTCAAATGACCTGGGATGGATTTCCCTAGCAGCTTCAAGCCCTGCCCTGGGGACACTCTGGAAGTACAGTTCATCTGGGACTGACCCAGAGACTGATGATCACATCTCTGACCAAGCTCAGAGTACCATGTTTGTCTGCCCTTTGCGAGAAAGCTGATGTAACCTCTGAGGCTGCTCTGACACGGCTTCTCTCCTGTTTGTCTTTTGGGATTGACAGTGAGGGGCAGCCAATTTCATTCCATTTCCCTCACAATCCCATGGGCTACATCTGGTTCTGCCTCTCTGGAAAGGTCAACAGGCACCCGGCCTCCCCCACAGAGCGTTTGGGTATCTCACAAGCGTGGTCTAAGAAACGGCCATGAGCAGGACCCAGGCTCTGAGCAACAGCTTGCATTTTTTCTTTCATAAGAAGCCTGGTCAGCAGCCAGAGTAGACCATTAAGGGTGAGCCAGAAGTAAAGCAAAACAGTGCTGGGGTGAGCTGGGGTCTGGGTTTTGGTTCATGCTAATCAAGAACCCTCATCTGGTTTTACAGGGCTTTTGTGTTTTGTTGCTCCCCCAGCTGCGTGTTTTGTCCTGCTGTCTCACAAAAAAGGTATCTCGTCCATCCCCACTGGATGGAAGCATGTCCTGGAGTCCAGAGACACGAAGAAGGGGTGACACAGACTAACACAACACAGGCTCCCTTGCCATCCATCTCTTGGCCTCTAACGATGGGGCTGTCGTATAGGGGGTGGGAAGCCTCTGAGGTCTGGGTTGGCTACACAGAGCATCTGAGAAGAGTCACCACCTCTCACCCCGCTTGCACAAGCGTTTCTCCTGCTCACCACTGTGCTCCTGTGAGCCAGCTGAAGCAGGCTGTTTATTCCTGGTCTGCAGTTTGCCTTGTCCCTCGTAACTCTCCTCTCTCTGCCCAGGTGTACACCGGATACTGAGGTTGTCCTCAACATCCCCACGGAGGGGACATCTCTCATCTAGTGCCAGGCCGGGCCTCGCTCACACGGCCGTCACCCAGAACACGTCTCGGCCAGGTTTGGATGAGGTTCTGTGCCGCAGAGCCCTCCCCTTTCCCCTCAGCTCTTCTTCATCCCAGCCCTGCTCAGCTTCTTTGAGGACTCACTGGAATAAGGTGGAGTAAGAAGGTAGAATCCTATAATCTTCGCTGCTGAGCCGCACTGGCTGCGCTCTGTGTTTACAGCATTCTTGTTGGAAGGAATATGCTGCAAGACTCAGGAATATGCTGCAAGACCCATGACAACAGCTCTTGGTGAGGCATTTCCAGCTTTCCTCACACCCAGAGCCCTTCGTGCCAGTGTGGTAACAGCAAAGGAGTCGCAGCTAAAGGCAAAACGGGCCTTTCCCTCCCTGTGGCCTGAGTGCTATAAGAGATCTGCGGACTGGCCTTAGTGCCACAAAGCCTGTCAGCCGAACTGACATCCCAGTGCGGGGCTGGACTGGCGTCCCAGGCTGGGGCCTGTGCTCACAAAGTTCGGGGCCAGCGTGAGCAGTGCTGGCGGCAGGCGGCCGTCCCCGGCAGCACGCTGCGCTCCTGCATTGCGCTGCAGGAGAGCCCGTGCCAGGGCAGCGTCTCTGCGCCTGTCGACACGTTCAAATAAAAACAACTCCGTTTTCACCCGTTCAGAATAAGTCCCGAGCTTTGTGCTTTCCGTTACAGTTTCTTGGAGTGGCGTTTTGGCACGTTGTCCGAGTAGGGGCAGCGGAGGGCTTCGCCGATCCTGGTGAAAGGCAGCGCTGCTCCCCGTCCAGCCCTGCCTGCCGGGACGGCTCCGCGCCGCTCGCTCCTTACTTGGCGAAGCGGCGGGCCCGGTCGCCCCCC